TAGAATTCTTTCAAGGAGTTTTTGAAGAGAGCTGAGAAGACTGATGGGGCGGTAGGAAGAGGGATCTGAGGGATCTTTATCGGGTTTGGGTATCATAGTTACGTTAGCGGACTTCCATGCGGGGGGGGACGTGACCGAGATTAAAACAGGCGTTAAATGTTAGATGAAGGAGCTGGAGGGCTTTTTTCTGGAAGGTGTTTAAGAGAAGCTACGAAGATGTTATCTGGGCCAGGAGCTTTATCGGGAGATATTTTAATCGCGGCCTCGATCTCTTCTATGGTGATTTCGTTAAGTAGTGCTTCCTGATCGGGAGAAAGACTTTCAGGAAGAAGAGAGGGTTTGGAGAGGGAGAAGTTAGTTATTTTGCTTTGGAGATCGATGCTTTCTTTGGGGGGAATCGGCCCCAGGGAGCTCTGCGGCTCGGTCACAGCTTCCAGCAGGGCGGCGGCAAGGACTGAGGCTTTGCTGTCGTCACTGCAGTGGGTCTTACCTTCATGTTTAATGGGTTTACTTTGATTGTTTCGAGGATTCCCGATTCTTTTAAGGAGCTTCCAAAAGTTAGCTGGATCCTCTTCGGTGTTAATCTGCTCACAAATTTACACCAATATGCCTCGTTTTCGTTGTTAAGGAGAGTTTTAATTTCTTGGTTAAGCCTGTTAATGAGAGGTTTTAATGCGGGGTCTTTAGAGCGAAAATAAGCGCGTCTTAGTTTTCTACGTTTCTTAATTGTACCCAGGGCTTCTTCAGAGAGAGAGAGTAAGGTTTATGGGAGGTAGACATTTTGGGTATTGTTACTTCTTGTGCGATATAGATGAACTCGATGACGATAGTGACCGCAAGGGAGATAGGACCGATAGGGAGGGAGTCTGGGAGGAGGGTTTCCACTATGTCCAGAAAAGCGCTACCAATCGGCATTACGAAAGTCAAAGCGGGAGTTACTTAAAACAGATGGAGGGAGGCGGAAACATCCCCTAATCGTGTACACTTCTAAATTCCCATATATAACTTCAGCATTTAATAATTCCCCGAATCATATATTGCAATCAAAATATCATAATTCCAGGATTTCCCAGTACCTGTTTATAAATTGCTCATTAAAAATAGGAAAAACGAGGAATAAACACTTTTGCTAAATCAGGAAGGCAGGTACTTCATTACATTTGTAGGGTGCTGGGAACTGGGGTACCATCTAGCGGGGACTCTTGGCACTGCATCTAGGGGAGTGCCAGCTACATCCTACACCCTGAACTGGTGGAGCTGGTGGCCCTCCTACCTAAAATAGGTAGCGGGCCGGCAACTTGCCGCCACTTTCCCCCCCCCCCCCCCAGGGAGATATCCGCCAGTGTAGTGCTTGGGACGTTTATGGCCCACTACTTTTGCGTCACTGGGTTGGTCGCAGAAACTTCCGCACAATTTGCAATCAGGGCCGGATTAAGAAGTTACGAGGCCCGGGGCAAGTGAATTCTTGGCCCCCCCCCCCCCAGCTACTTTATGCAAATACAATACTTTTTTTTAACTTAATGTTTTTAATTTCCTTCGGGGGCCCCCTGGAAGAGTGGGGCCCGGGGCAACTGCCCCCTTTGCCCCCCCCTTAATCCGGCCCTGTTTGCAATTCACTACGAAAATGACGTATTAAACGCCGTGTCATCTTTAATGGGAAACAGGAACCTCCCGAATGGTATTAGGAAATTCGAAAAACTGGATTTGCACGGACTTCGATTTCGGTACGGAATGGCGTTTATTTGCCAAGACAGTCGCCAAATTAAAAAAAGAACAGATGCGAAACCATAACGCTTGCGACGCTTTGAAATGTGTTCTTCGTGAGAACCCAAGCACACGTCAGATTCGGCGAAAAAAGCTGCGCAGTTGCAGAAGCAACGGATTTTGGGTATTCCCCAAGGAAATGCATTTTCTGCTGGAATTTCTTCGTTGGAGATTCCCAATATCTTTCCAGCACGTGCCTCGGTCTGTTCCAGATGCCGAAACAATTATTTAAAAAATTAGGAAAGGCATTCCCTGTAAATAATTTGAAACACATAACGTTTAAAAAAAATGTTTGGAACGTCGATGCAACGTTGGTCCGACGTGGCCTTGTTTGGCAATTCCGAAGCCTGTCGACGTCTTTCAGGAGTTCCCTGCTCCATTAAAAGTTTTTCACCGAATCGATGAAAAATAAAATTTTCTCCTGGCTGGAGTTTCGTGAATCGACCGTGTGAATTCGGTTCGGTTTGCAGAAAAATGAATTGATTTCACACTCACCCAATTCTCCCGCTGGGGCGATGCAATCCAGTTTTCCTTTTTCGGTCAAGCATCAAATCGATTGCACCGTTTCTCTCTTCGATTATTATATATTAACAGAATATCTTATTTACTTATTTGCATGGGGAGATGCCGAAAACCATAGGCGTTTGGACGCCGGCGCGCGAATGCGGAACCTCCATTCGCTCCGTCCTACTTTTGTCTCGTCGAAGGCGCTTCCCGCCTGCGCTTCGCCTTGACGTCATCATTCCAGCGTGGCGGCCCTCTTGCGCGAGTTGTGGTGGTGCACGCGATCGTGACTCAGATTCCGGTTCGAGGCAGGAGTGGGGTCGGGGTTGGCGTGTTGGGTTGCGTCTTACGAATGTGCGTGGAGTCTCATGAACGGTGCTGCTAGTACCGACTGGAAAAAGGGTGTAAGACGTAGGTGCTAGTGCGCGAGAGGATCGAAAGCACGGCGTAGGGCCGGTTCTGAAACTTGAAGACCATCTTGGCCTATATATAAGTCCAGGTCTTGGCTGCTATGTTATTGGACGATCAACTGCATTCACTATGTGGTGGCATAGTTCGGTTCATGGAAGATTGAGATTCGGCCTGGAAATACCGTTAGAATACGTTTTGGCCGACATAAACGTTTTCTGCTTGAGTCCAACCTAACGTCTTTACGGTTGACTTCATGACCAATGTATAGGAACTTTCGCAGTTAGGCCTGCACTGTGATGCACGTGATGTATATATATATGTTGATATTGTGTCTGCAAAAAATGAAAGAGATAAGTTGTGGAGTTTCAAGTTTTCCTCCTGATGTATGAGGGGCATTCAAAAAGTTTTGATTGTAATGCGCAGTTCTTTGCTTATGGGAAGACAGCCGTCCTTGATGGTGACATGCATAATATTATCCATATATACAGTTTCCATGAAGGTATGTATAATTATACTACAGATATAGTTTGCATGAAGTTTTTCAACATTTTACCAATGGGCACAATGAAGGATTATACAAGTTGAGACACTTACTGATAAATAATCAGACTTTGAAAGAATCGATCTCCAGTAGATCTTTGAGTGGCCTAGGGGAGAGCTTTCTGCTGACCTTTAAGGTCTACTTGGAGATTGACAAATTCAAGGGTAGGAAGTTGAAATCAGTTCTAGTCTCAATTTTCATATTCTTTTGGCAGACCTTTCAGTAAAAGATAATAAAAAATGCATTGAAACTTCTTTACTGCATACCCTGCATAAAAAGTGATTTGACCTCAAATTGTATGCAATTGCTCATTCTCATTATTCTCACTTATGCATTGGTCCTTATACAGGTTGGCAACCCAACCCAGTGAAGTTGCTCCTTCAGTCTTCAGGTGGGTTTACAGTCAGGTTGGCATTGTTCCTCCTTCAATAGCCATCAGAGCAAGTTCTAAATTTTGGTTGGAAGATGCCATCTGATGCGAAAAAGAAACGCGAACAAAAGAAGAAGACCATCGCAAAGCAAAAGGGCTCGGCTGGGAATAGCAAGGGACAGGATGTAGCCAATGGGAGCGGAGAGAAGCAGAATGGTTATGTTGTGCAAAAAGAAGTAGATGATTCGTTGGAAGCTGCCAAGAAGAATGCTGACAACAGGGCCGTGACAGGAGTTCTTGGCATCCATGCCCGAAGCCGTGACATCAAGATCGATAATTTCTCCATCACGTTTCACGGGTGTGAGCTCCTACAAGACACTCGCCTTGAGCTTAGCTGTGGTCAGCGATATGGTCTTATAGGCCTGAATGGCTCAGGTGAGATGAGAGTGCAAAGCTTTAAAATTTTGAGATAAGATGTATCTTGCACGTCTGATGTTATTTGCTCGTGATGTTCACAGGGAAATCCACATTATTAGAAGCTTTAGGGAATCGTGAAGTTCCCATCCAAGATCAGATTGATATCTATCTTCTGAGCCACGAGATCCATCCGTCGGAGAAGACGGCTCTCCAGTCAGTGATGGATGTCGACCAAGAACGCCTAAGGCTGGAGAGACTGGCTGAGGAGCTTGCCCATCTTGATGATGAGGGTGAGCATCTTGTCTCATGGTCTCATCAATGAAACACAGTTGTGTGCATATTCCAAAGATACTTTGTATATATACAGTAGATACATTAAATCCAATTGAACTGCAAAGTAAGATTTGGATAGGCCTATGCCTACATTGGTAATGACTGCCACAGTCTGCCTGAAATATTCAGTTAGAACCTGCTTCAGCCATATTTTAAGGTTCATGCAGTGTTGGAAGAATAGCATAAAAATAGAACCAGGAGCTCCAAAAAGGGCTCCTTATGAATGAAACTGTTATGCTTCGTTGTTTTTTTGTGTTTCAGGTGATTTCAATTGAATTTTATACCTTTCTGATTGGCCCTGACCCCATTGAATGGGAAGAACCTAAGGTGTTGTTCCTTGCATTTGAAATAGTGTCTAAGTTGAAATAAAAAATAATGGTATGGTACTTAGAATTGACAGCTCATGGAAGCATTCTCATTGCACTGGTCTAGAGTCGCATGATGAGCTCATGGATGTCTATGAGAGATTAGAGGATCTTGGAGCCGATGTTGCTGAAGCTAGAGCATCTTACATTCTTCATGGCCTTGGCTTCTCCAAGGAAATGGTCAACCGCAAGTGCAAGGATATGTCTGGTAAGGAATAATCCTGAGTTCCTCCTTATCATAGGTCATTTAAGAGGAGTAGACCTCAAATGGGTGTAATACCCCTTCATCAGGTGGATGGAGAATGCGTGTGGCATTGGCAAGGGCTCTGTATGTCCGGCCGCATCTGCTTCTCCTTGATGAACCCACAAATCATCTAGACTTGGATGCATGCGTGTGGCTTGAGGAGGAGCTGAAAAAATACAAGCGGATTCTCGTCGTGGTTTCCCATTCGCAGGATTTCCTCAATGGTGTGTGCTCCAATATCATCCACTTGAACAAGAAGAGACTCAAAATGTATGGGGTGAGTGCAGGACAACAGTCCTCTTGGCTCATTGGAAGATTCTTTTGGGGATCCATGTGATTTACTTTTATATCATTGTGTACATTGTGCAGGGCAACTATGATCAATTTGTGCGAACAAGATTGGAACTTTTGGAGAACCAGATGAAGCAGTATAGTTGGGAACAAGATCAGATTGCTCACATGAAGGTAGGCAAATTTTTTATTATCTCTTGGACTTCATGCCATGTTTTGTGCATTATTCTTTCTTTTGACACCTTTGGCTTAGAACTACATTGCACGCTTTGGACACGGATCAGCCAAATTGGCAGCTCAGGCCAAGAGCAAAGAGAAGACACTGTCCAAGATGGTTGCAGGGGGGCTGACAGAGAAGGTCCTTGCTGACAAGGTCGTCCAGTTCTACTTTCCTCCTTGTGGCACAATCCCGCCTCCTGTTATTATGGTCCAGGTTTGTGAATCACAAGTGGTTATGAATGAATGAGAAGGACTGACAGCTTGAACTTTTGAATATGTATGTACCAAGGCAACATGCAGTGTTGTAGTCATACCCCTTCTCCCTTTTGAGAGATCATGTTGCTCATCTTCTAAGGCAAGAAGTTGATGTTATTCTATTTATGGTTCAATGTCTCTGGCTGAAGCATGAAATTTTCACACTAAATGGTCTTGCCAGCTGATAGTCATATTCTGCTATTAAATAATCCTATCAGTACATCCCTATTTAACCCATTAAGTGCCACCATTGCCATTTGGTGACTTGAGATACCCCTTCAAATTTAGTGCCCTTGAGTCCAAAAAGATTGTCAATAGTCAGTTCCAACTATCACCCATAGATGATGCAAGAGTCATGTTTTCATTTCATCCATATTTCATGGTGTGATTCTATTTGAAGTTTTTGAGCAATTCAACCATGAAAATTCAGAAGTTTAGTGTTCCTAAGGAGACAGTTTCAGAGTGGATGTGTAGTAGAAGGTTCACTGTAGATGAAGTCCTTGGTGAGGTCATGGCTGATGAGGATTCTGGCAGCAAACTTGACAATTTTGATGATGATTTTTTAGCACTAGAATCGGATAGTATCTGGTAATTATTGGCCAACCATAAATATTAAATATTTAGATGAATAATTACCCCATAAAACAATCAAAGTGTGCAAGAGAGATTTCTAGCATGCTTTTATTCAGAATCAGTGAAGCCAGTGTGAGCAAATCAGATACAAAAGTGAATTTTTGAGGATTTTGCAAGAAAGCCTTAGATGGCTGCCATTTGATGACATGTGCAAATTAGGTTTTAAAAATTATTTTCACAATTAACTATAAATTATGCCTAATAACCTTTTGCATTACAGCAATTCTCTATCTCTACTCCTTGAGTAGCTGCTGGCTCCTAAAATAGGCATTATAAATTTCAGCAATTTACAACAAAATTTGGCACTTGAAGGGTTAAAGGTCATCATGCATTTTCTATTATGGTTGGTTACTGGAATAGCCTTTCTTTTATTCCAGCATGTCAGCTTCAAGTACACAGAAGATGGACCATGGATCTACAAGAATCTGGAGTTTGGGATCGACCTGGACTCAAGGGTCGCCCTTGTTGGCCCTAATGGTGCGGGGAAGAGTACTCTCTTGAAGCTTCTTTATGGAGAAATCATGCCCACTGAGGGGATGATCCGCAAGAACTCCCACCTGAAGATGGCTCGATATCACCAGCATCTGCAAGATCTCCTGGACATGAACCTCTCCCCTCTCGAGTTCATGTTGAAGTCTTTCCCAGAGATCAAGGAAAAGGAGGAAATGCGCAAGATCATTGGGAGATATGGGCTGACAGGGAAGAACCAGGTTAGCAATATTTTTGTCCTGGTTCTTTCAGGCCTTTATCAATGCTCCTTTCCTTTGCATCAGCTTGGCCTTATTCCAGTTGCAAATATCTCGGACAGGTTTGCCCAATCGGACAGCTGAGCGACGGACAGCGATGTCGTGTGATGTTTGCCTGGCTGGCGTGGCAGGCACCTCATCTCCTCCTTCTGGATGAACCAACTAATCACTTGGACATGGAGACCATTGATGCCCTGGCAGAAGCAGTGAATGACTTTGATGGGGGCATGATTCTTGTATCCCACGACTTCCGGCTCATCTCTCAGGTTAGACCCTTGTTCTTTTCCTGTGTTTCTGTTCATGTAAGTGATATTGGACAAGGTGGAAAATATATAATTTCACCATCCTTTCATCAAATGCATGCTTATTGGAGCAACATCAACTATGATAAGTGCATTACTCATCAGTGCCATGTATGGGTTAAGTTACTTTCTTCCCTTTCCCTAATAATGTGAAAGTGAGAATGATGTGGGGAATATGTGACAGCTATGGAAGTGAATCAGTTAGGGCTGTACTGGTACAAAAGTTTGGCTGATTCCTGATATCTGTGCTTGAAAGATGACTGATACTGATCTTTGTGCATGTCAATGGAATAGGTCTTTTTTGCAGAGTTAGTGTAATCAAGATTAATTTTTTTGCACATTTGTAAATGACAAATTTCATTATATTTTCTTTTCCCACTTATGGAGGCTTTCATTTTGAGGAATTCCAGTTTTCCCCCCAAACAAAAAAATTTTCATATTTGTGGTGACAACCTTTCCTGATCTATTATGGTCACCAACAGATGAGTGTGAGGAAGCCCTCCCAGGACACTGGGAAGATTGGGAATAATTCTTCCCACTACTCATTAAAAATTAGGTGCATCAGTTCTACATTGATCATAAAATGGAATACCTCTACAATGACCCTTTTTTTAAATTAAAATGAGTTTTCCCAAAATCATTAAAAATCACAAATAATGCTCTATACCACAGGAAAATTAGCCATAAAGATCAGATTCTGTTTTCACTAGGGGAGCTATATTATAAGTAAGAGATTTTATTTCACTTCTGGTTTGTCATTAGTTTGAATCTATGTAGCAGTACTGCTTTAGCATTCCACACTACTACAATTGGAAAAAGACAAGAAAATAAAGACCTAGACTAGGATAGGCCATACCTTCAACGTCGGGTCCATCATGCTGCACACATGAAGGTTGAATCTAGAGGCCTAAGCCTAACGTTGACTTTAGGCATTGATCATTTACTGGAAATAGGCCTATTCAAGCTTTCAGCACTTGTCTTAGAAAAATTCAAAAGCAAGGGCTTCTTAGAATATTCAATTGGAATGCAGCAGTTTCTCGTGCGTGTTCCTACGTTAGGTGCCATTTAGTAGGAAGATGATGTGCTCCTGACTACACTTTGCCTATAGCTGCATGCTTTCAAGTTACAGTCTCTGGAATAAATGCAGGTTGCATCTACCACTGTCTCCTTGTAGGAATTCCCCTACCTCTGACAAAATACTGAGAAATCAAATCAAAATAGGGAGAAGAGATGTGATGCCTGTTGGACACACAAAAAAAGATCAGAAGTTTGGGTGACCCAAAGATTGGTTTGTCTGGTTTCATGAAAAACACCTGAATCTACCATTGTCCAATCTCTTTTTGGATTCTGTAGATTGGTAGACACAGATCTTTATCAGTACAGCCCTAGTTATTTCCCTTGAGGTTAGATTTTACTTTCATGGAGCTGATCCTGATATGGGAAAGTTAACTTAGTCAAATAGCAGGAACATCACTCATGTGTCGCAAATTAGAATATAGCACCTTGGTGCCTGTATGTGGTCATTTAATAACAATTGGCAGAAATTATCCAATAATTGCAATTTAAATATCCATTTTCTTCTTTAAATGAGATGCTTCATTCCTGAATTCATGTGTCAGCTGGGAGGCCATAAAGTAGGACTGTTGCTTGATAAGTGTTGTGATACCTTAGCTTGAAGTGGCTCAGCTAGCATAAATTATCACAAGTTTCTGTCAAGTGCATCCTTTCATGAAGGATCCAAAAAAAAAACTGACAATCCCATGTAAACAGACAAGAAGTCGTTTCATTCATGAAGCTCAGTCATCAATAGGTACATGCAACAAACCCTAAGAAAAAGTCAAGGCACAATGAAGTAGAATAAATATCCTGTTTTATCCTCCAACAGGTGGCAGAAGAGATCTGGGTGTGTGACAAGGCCACCATCAAAAAATGGGAAGGAGACATCACCAGCTACAAGGAGTTCCTGCGAAGGAAAGTCCTGGCTGAAAATGACCGAATGCTCAAGCATGGTTTTAAATGAGTCTGGCTTCCCCTAGTTTCTTTTCAATTTTGTTTCCCTCCCATTATCACATGCTTCTGAACCAACATGTAGGACAAAATTTTTTATCTTCTTCATTGGGACGAAGATTTTGCCTCGATGCCTATGAGTTTCTCCATAAAAGCGTCTAGGAAGAGGTGTCGTTGGATGTCTTCTTGTGCCGCTTACGTTCTCGAAGATCAGCCAATGTCTCCTCTATTGTACGCAAATCCCGCTTCTTGTCACTGGGAACTGCAGGGGAAACATGAGAAGATGTTTGGAGCCCATGGTTTCTGTGCTTTCCTGGCTTTCAGGATGGTTCGGCCACTGTGAGCCTTTGAAAGTATTTGCTGAAACAGCAAATAAACCTACCATATTTATCATTACAAATTAAATTGCATCTGGAAGACATAATAAAGCAACTTTGCAATCTCCAACTTGGCAAACATACTTGTGTCCTTCATTCTGAGGATTTTTCCTCCTAAGTAGAATCAGTAAGATGGAAATGAGGATGATATTTGAGCCATATATTTGTCTCCTTTAAGTTCTTTCTGATTGATGGCACAACAGAATTTCCTCCTCTTGCCTTCTAGTCATAAAAGTACTATTTCACACCATGGAATATATATTTGTGAGCCTGAGGTTCAATGGTCAAACTAATGAACTTCCTTAATATTAATTTCCTCTTTATTTATCATATTTCTAGAGACACTCCACTGCTCCCAGCACAAAGGTGATGACAGAGAGTTTGTGCCAACCATGCAACAAGGCACCATCTCAGAATGCCATTGAATGTTAGACATGTTAAGAAAAGGATGTTTAAATGAGATGTTTGTCCCAAGTTGAGAGGATTTGAATCCCATGAAATAGGATATTTAAAAAAATATAAGAGAGGAATGATTTCACATCCCTGACTAAATCCCAACAAAATTGAAAAACATTTTCTCAAATTGAACTCCCTCCAATTTCCTAGTTTTCATCAGTTCATTCAGACAATAATTCTACATGAGTGCCTAGACATACACCCAGAGGAAAACTCCATCATTCAACCACAAGGCCTGAAGACTCACTCCCAACTGGAAATGTTTTACTTTGCCCTCTTACCCTGGAATAGTTTCTCTCTCTCTCTCTCTCACAATCAGGACAAACTACCATGCCCATTTCTGCAAGCTGATAGGTGAAACCTGTCTGGAAGGGTTAAGGTTTGGGAAGGGTGCAGTATTTTACATCACTAAAGTTCCTTAAGCATGGAATGTTCTGCATTGCCCAGAAAGATAGTAATAAGAAAAAAGGGACAGTGAAACTTGAGTTGCTTACCACATCCATATTGCTGCTTAGCAACAGCAACTATTGCTATATCCTTGTGGGAGTTCTCTCGGATTCCTCTTTTCCTCCGTTTTGGAGCTTCGTTATCTGCCATCTGTGAGATCCAGCATTTATGAGTGGGGCATGAAATATGACTAGGATATTGGGATCTGGATTATTGAACCTTTACTTCATTTGCACTCAGACTGTCTGCCAGTTACAATGAGATCATGCACATGCAGTCCAGTATTGATATGAGGAATATGTATTTTCTATATTACTGTAGCCCATTTCCAATTCTTCCTGAACATAATTATTTAAAGAAAAATACACTTTTAATTCCCTATAAGCAACTCACTGCTGATGTGGAAGATTCATGCAATGGTTCACAATTTGACGATGATGGCATGCCACCATTTCGAAGGATTGCCAGCTGCTCCTCAGTGGGAAGGGATTCTTTCTTGTATAAGATGATGTGCCTGTCTTCACCCTCTGTGCCAAAGGAATGCCCAACCAATCCTGCCACTTCAGCACATTCATGACTGTATAGAAGAAATAGGAAATGCCTATCCCACTTAGCCAGGAATGAAGAAGGATATTTACAAATATACAGAGGGATGATCAGAAGCTTCAGAATTTTAGGCCTAAAATCCAATCATCAGCTGACTCTAATGCCACTGGGTTTCTCCTTGCCCTATTCCAGAGTTCATACCATGTTCTTGATTTCCCTCTTTACTTGCCCTCCCTCTCATTCTTTCTCCTGGTCCATGAGTTGCTACAAAACTTTTTTTTAATTCAACATTCCTCCTGTCAATCACCTGTTCATCAAAAGTTTCTTGTCTTCCACGTAAATTCGGGTATTTCTCTACTCAATACTCAGTAAAAGAAAACATATGGAAACATGGGATTGATATGAGGCTTCATTTTTTAAATTACAATATGTACAAACTTCAATCTACTGAATCCCATCATCATCATATTTATGAATACATTCTATCAACTGCATGGTCTAGTCCTGATTAGGCTTCTCTAACTTCTACTTGATCACAGGTCCTATTTAAAACCCATTGCATGTGGTGACACATCTGCTTTGAGTAGATGTAAAAATTAGTCCCTAGATATCCAATTCTCTGCTAGTCAACCTTCAGGATATATAAGAGATATGCTACACCAGGGCTTCATGCATTGATGGGCAATAGAAAAGGCCTAGAATTCCCTTCAATGAAGTAGACCTGGCATTTGCATTCTCATAGAGTATCTAATGGGTTTGGGGGAAAGCAACAAAAAGTCTTAACTTCCTTGATTGGATTAACACTTACATGAGGCTCCTTTCCATTCGATCCATAGTATCGAATTTCAGCTCTCCTTGATTAGGATCCTTAACAAAGTCTTCTATCTTCTGCTCAATCATGGTTCTGAATTTATTCCACTTTTTCTTGACTTCTGCTTGAGCCTTCTTTAGGGTTTCCTCTTCCTCTGAGAAAAATCATACAATGGAATAATACATTTGGCCCCCATGCTGTATAGTAATATTCTGTACTAACATGACTATAATAAGCATGAGGCCCTTGCCTAAGCTGTATCATGGCCAAATCATACATCCTTTCATGGAATACTGGATCTCATCCATCTGTGAGACTTTCGGCTTTCATGGGCAAATTTGTAATGAAACTGAAGATGATGGTAGTTTACTCATATCTCAGGGTTTTTAAGTCAAATGTCATTTAAAAAAAAGAGGAAAGAAGCATCTAAAATTCAAGATAAATAGATTTTCATTTGAAAAGAGAATAGGATCAGCAAAGGTCCTTCATGCAATTAAATAATTGAAAAATCATTGCCTAGTTAACTTCAGAAGGAGGCTTGCTTCAGATCTTCATTGCAGCTGTAATATGCAGTCTTTCCTTGGGAAACCTCTTTGTGTTCCAAAAGGGCAAGTAGATCTTTTTGATTGAGACCTTGGGTTCTCCTTGACTTAATTCTCAGGCATGGATGCTATTCCAAAGAGCAAATGATGGGCATGTTTTAATGCCTTTCTGTGTACACTTTATTGAATACCTCACAGCTTTACAGCTAAATGTAGGCCTATACTGATTCTTTTCATTGCATAAAATCGGCATGAATTTCGTTCGTCTCTAACCACTCACTTTTCTTAGCAGCAGTGTTTACAGGTGGAGGCTTGTCCATGGAGCTCATGATTGAACCAAGGATGTCCATGGTGGCTACGAATGGATTTTGGTCTAACAAGTTAGGTTAATACCAGGATAGTGATGAACCCCAATGGTAGAATGGTGAATACCAGATCTATCTGAAAAAGAGAAAGCTGATGATTTTCTTTTCCCATTTCAATATACTTGCAATTCTCTACTTACTAACTAACCAATGTCAATAATAAAGATGCATCCTTTTAGTTGACTTGTTTGCAACACATTTCTCAATATAGGCAATTATTTAATTTATTTACAATTAATTAATTATTTCTTTTTACCAATGAGTTACGTTTCACACTCCTTCATCTTTAGCTCTGCTAATGAATATCTTTTCATTAGTCTTCTTTTTAATGTCATAACTATTGCAGTTTCTCCTGCAAGATCACAGGGCTGACTGAAAATGGGGTTTATTCCAGAGCTGAGACGCAACAAGGTGAGGTGAGAAATTCAGGGGTCTGAATGCTCCCCAAGGGGCTGAGAGTACCTAGCATATGACTACTGCAAACACAAGCAGGCACCAAAGTTTCCACTAAGCACCACATCCTCCGCATAAAAAAACTATTTTTACCACGGCTACGTGAATTGTTGCCGAACACACTCACACATTATCTTACCTGAAACCAAGTTAGCAGTTATGAGTTCACTCGCTACTGTAGCCGCTAACCCGCTGCATCTAGCACTGTTTCTCTTATTTAGGGATGTCAAATCGCAATTAGCTTTTAAAGAACTTTTCATGCGATAATGTGTGGGGGACTTTTGATATTCAACTCATCTTGAGAGCATATTATTGCCTTTTTATATATATGTCACGTTTCTTGTAAGCATTTTTGGTTTCAAACCAAAGACTCGCGCAAACCTGACGAAAGTAGGACGTTTACGGTCGTGCAACATTGTTACTCCATGGCAGCATGCACATTGCTTCCAGCAGCATGTGAACCGGTTGTTCGTTTCCAATCGATTTTTCTCCGCATCTCATTTGTTTGACCCGGATTTAGTGTTGAATTCGAAAACAAGAGAAGTATGGGTAAGGAAGCAGACACGGATCTGGAAATAGGCCTAACGCCTGATGCATCCAGCGGAAGTATAGACGACAGTTCCTCGCCTGACATTGAAACTGCAAAGAATGCGGCTCACCAGGACTTGACGAAGCTAAAGGTAATGTTGGATTAAACCTCGTGCCCAAATTTAAAGTAAACAGAAAGCAAGGCTAGTGCGTGTTTGCCCTGCAGGTCTAAGATAAAACCTAACGTTAGATTTCGAGATGGTCGCAATACCCAGAGCATGGCAGCCATTTTTTTATTCTCAAGAAAAAGGATCCCGCACTTTTTGCAATACACCGTGGTGCTGAAAGTAAGTGGTCTAGCTGGGTTTCTCATCTGTACCAGCATAGTGAATGGGGGTTGGGGTATTTCATCTTATCCCTACCACATGCCCCACTTTTTGAGAACTGGAACTGACAGCCTGATGGCCTGCTGTTTGAAAGTGTTTTTCCCTTAACTTAGATATGTGTGTATGGCATGTTCCTCATGCTCCAATGTCTGAGTTAAGTGAAGACTGTCCTACTCAGAAATTAGAAATCTACACAACAAAAACATTCAGAAGGCTAGGTATAGGGAGGTTTACCAGGATGTTATATAAGAAGGGCTTAGGTTGCCCTGGATATGGCTACTAGCATGGCTTAATAGGGTAGGATTTCATGGGCTAAAATTAGGCCTAGTAGGCTAGTGGAAGTTCTGCTCCTTACTGGCCTAGACCTAAGGCCTGATGTAGCTTGGTAGGGCAAACAAGGAATTGAGAACAACTTCTTACCCATAAGTAGTGATAGTAATGACATGGAAGACCCACTTATAACAAAAGTCCTTTCCTTTTGCGTCCTTGCTGTCTGAGTGAAATGGTGATACCTAGAAAGGTATATTTCATTGTGCAAGCAAGGAAGGTTCCATTGCAGATATTATTGGTACTTATTTGGAAAGAATCCATTTGGTTTATCAAAATATGTATAGTTGGAGACTATACCCACTCTTGAGGATACTTCTCTCTTTAAGGCAGTTTGCTAGAGATGAACAAACATGTGACAACATGATAGAAGATGAAAGAAAGTAGCAATGAGGTAGTTGGTAAAAATTAATATGGTGGGGAGAATGAGAAGCTTTCTTGTCCCAAGTTGAATTTATTATGGCAAAGCTGCTTTGCTGCATTTTCCCTTGTTTATCATTATAAAGGGGAAGACTCTATTTGAACAGCTGCTTCTTTGCATCAAGTACACTTTCTTGACATGAATGCACCTGGCCCTTTAATCCAATTTTCAGTTCCTTGCAGAGCCAGTTTTTCTATGCTGCTGCATTATCCATGAAATTTGTTTTTCAAAACTGGAAATAGATGGATGTCAGAGGGACTCAAGTTTGGAGGAAATGGGAGTGGAGGCAAAGTTTCCTAGTCCCAGTTCTCTAGAGCAGTTGCTACATTCCAGTTGCATATCTGAGATCAGGAGTCATTCACCTTCATGGAAGATGGTGCTTTGCATGTCAAGCAGAGTGGGGGTATTGTTTTGGGAAACTGGGACAAGGAAGATATGCCTTATGGTCTGTATTCTCCAGGCTTGAGTACCTGTGACATACATTTGCTTTCACTTGTGAAAAGCAAGCCCCTTAAAGAATGCTATGACAGCCCATACTAAAGTTAATGCCATGGTCAGGGTATTGTAGGTCAGAAAAATTGACCTTGTTGGCATCTGAAAAATACTGGAATCTAGGGACAAGTATTTCAAAGTAGGTTGCTTCAAGCAAGGAACTGACTGTTTTGCCTAAATAAGTATTTTTCAGTTTAGGGTCAGTTGAGTGACAGCAATTTTTACTGCTCCTCATAGATGCGCAGCCTGTTGTGATCCTGCTGGAGTTATGTATAAAAGATCCAAACTTGATTGAAAAGCATCAAGAACAGCCAGTTATAGCCTACAAGCCTATTTCTAATGTAGTCTGTTTTACTAGTTCTATTTTTTTTTTCATGTTATAGGTAGCAGACCTGAAAAAGGAGCTGAAGCAACGAGGCCTCACTGTAATGGGAACTAAGGCAGATCTCATTCAACGACTTCAGGAGGCTTTACTAAGAGAAGAAGGTATAAATAATGACATCAATTTTTTTCTGTAGGGTTTCATGACTCTTGCTTCATTCACCCTGGCAAAATGAATTATGTGAAACCATGAAGTCTCAGTAAAGTAGAAAGAATAAAGAGAGATCATTCCTAAGCTTAATGTATCCTTGTGTCTGGTCACTTCCAAGCAATCTAGGGATAATCTAAAAATTCCAGGTTTTTTATTGCTTGAGAAATAGAAAATCTGTTAGATCTGAGGAGGGGGCTATTGAATCAGCATTTTTGCAGTCACAAGTAGTTCCATTCTTGAAATGCACCTTCCCAATTTCTTCAAAAGCAAGAGATCTGTATTAGAGTGTCTGCTTTGGAAACATGCAGATAGCGACTTTTTCCCTTCTCAGATTGTTACATGATTGAATTTCCCAGTGTGACAATCTTGTAGCTAGATCTCTTTCCTCCTTGTCATTGCACACTTTCTCTTTGGACTAGAGCTTCACTGTTTTTTTTACACCCTCTTTAAACTCCCCTTTCTCTTCTGATTGGACTTTTGAATTAACTTCCACCAGGGATTAGAGGTATTTGCAAATTTATATGTTCTACAATGTGATGTGGTGTATGATCTCTGTTGTGAGATATGTCTTAATATGAATTCATTGTGATAAATGCGTGAAACTGATACCCTGGACCAGGAGTGCCCAGTAATGTCAAATGTCATTTATTATCAATGAGGGTTGAGAAGTTTTATGCTCATACTGCCTAAGTTGGCTGAGTATAAAAATTTGTAGTCCCTGGGAACCTGAGTTACTTCATACAAAAATAAGTATATTTTGTATGCTTCAAACTATATGCAACTTTTTAGTTACTGTGGTTTCAGATATTATTTTAAAATATATACTGTCTAGCATTAAGAAGAATAGAAGATGATATCATGGTATGACCATGGTTTATCAAAGTTTCCCTACAAGTACTACACAAGGAAACAAAGGAGGATTTTGTAATAAGTAGTAAATAAGTATTGGCCTTCAGCAAGGTGAGAAACAGACAGGAAAAAAAAAAGTATTAATTCCATGGATTGGCAATTTTTAATGCTGCTTGCAGAACAGCATTCACAGGTTCATAAGAGAGAGTGTTACTATGTATAAAATCATTGATGAAATACCTTTAAAAAGCTGATCCTGGGGGAGTAGGTTCTTCTTACTTACCAAGAAATTAACAATAAAATCCAAAGTTAATATCAGATGACCCAATGACAATTTCCAGGATGAGGTTTTGTTTGGGCTTCATATTTGACAAACTTGTGGATGTAAGAGAAAGACTTCGGCAGAGATCATACAATCCCCATCCCAGAGATTTGAATCATTATAGCAGGTGTCATATTTACTCTGTAAAACCAGGCAAGGGTTAATTAGAGTCTTTTGATCAAGGAGCAGTCCTTGGTAATTTTCTTTCAAATGGATGATGTTAGAAAGAACTGGAAAAGTTTTATGCACCCTGCTGCTGTCTTTTTGCCGACCATTTCCATATTTTCAGGCTTGCTGAGAAGTCAACAGAGGTACATCATAAACACAAGCAAAGAAACCTGGTTTCTGATTATTGATTTCCAAAACACCCTTCATGTATGATCAACCACTTTCAGAAAGCATGGATATGGATTTTTTGGGCTGTGTATGGGTGGGTAGATCGCACAGCAAGAATAGAATTTCAAAAATGAGCATTTTGCAACAAGTGGATGGGATTCTTTGCATGAATAATGAGGTATCAGCTTCTCCCAGAAGGGGAGGGAGTTGCTTGTTGACAATAGTACTGGGATATTTTCCCCTGTCACTTCAATTCATACACTGTCACTAAAGGTTTGTCCACACTGAAAGTTTAGCAAGAAAAAGTGTTCCTGGTGTGCATGCTCCTGAAAGCTTTATATGCCAGATTTTTAAGTTCTGGAAGAACTTAAAAAAATCTTAAATTATTAATCAGTAGTTTCAAAGTATTTCTTAATCTAAATCTAAAAATCTTTCAACAAAATGTTTTATTTTCCAATGTTCTTTCATCATTTAAGCAATACAACTTTCCTGGTGTGGGTTAGCCTTTATTGGACAGCTTAGCTAACTGCTTGCATTTTGAAAAATGTATGCTAGATACAAACTTTTTTAGACTCTGGTGTGCCAGTGCCAATTTTTTTCTTACCAGCTTCCTTTGTGAGCTATCTATCCCTCTCATGTCTAGAAAGTATATTGTGACTCTTGAACTTATCATTTGATCAATCCCCATAACATAAAACTAGATTTCGGCATGCTGTCAAACATTGTATCCAGTTGTATTGGATGTGTGCATTATATTTCATTTTCATCATCCTTTGGTGCATGATGCCTTGGAGAAAAAATATGAAACTTTGCAAACATTTTCTTGAAGGTACGAAGTAAGATATTTTGCTTCAATCTACTCTAATTTGGTCATTTTAAGGCAAGTTTGGTTTTTTGTCAAAATTAAAGAAATTTACAAAAAGATAAAAACTGCAGCAGGTAGGATTTGTAAAACTTGAAACAAAAACATGAGATGAATATGAGACAACATATGTATAACAATTTATTTTAGACATAAAATAAATAAAAAATTAAAAATTAAGAGGCTTGTAGTGAAATAAGGTGAAAGATTTCTTCTCAGTTATGGTATTGACTTGGTATTTTCAATATGTTGTAATTGGTAACAAATATAAAGATGAAAATTATTGATGTTCTTCCCAATTGGGAACATCAAGGATGTTTCATAAATTCCCCCATTCACCTCAGTGAGCCCTCAGCAATTTTATATTGTAATTATTCCTCTATGTTACATGTCAACAACAACATGCAGTATAAGGTTAAGTATTGATGCAAATAAATATTTTTGTGCATGCATTTATAAAAGTGAGGGTACATGATGCATGCACAAAAAGGATTTATTATATGATGCATCATGAATAAATAAATAGGTATTTCATCTTCAAAATGCAGAAAATGAAAAAATTTTTGTTGTAAAGAATTTTGTTGCTACCTTCATTGTTGAGATATGAACCAAGCCCATACTCCCAGGTTACTGTTTTCTCAGCAGTGTATATCCAATTAATCTGTTCAAGCAGATATTGAAAGTTCATTTTCTTTTAGTTATGCCAAAAAACTTAATGCTGCCTTTCCTAAATGTTATGTTGTAAGACATACTGTTTTGCCTTTTTTCCATGCTGCTCTGCAGAGATGGCCCTCGCAGAGGAGAAGCTTGAAGATGAGTCAAGCTTCTTGGAAGATGATCCTGGACTGGAGGAGAAGGTATGTGACTTTGAGAGTTCTTTGAACTTTGCTGGTTAACACCCTTTCCCTTATTTAAAAATTAATGTGGTCTCTACAGTTATCTGGACGGGTAAGTATCTCGTTGTGAGTACGTGCAAAGCTTTCATTGACGTCAACAGAAGTTCTACCCCTTCAAACTTTAGCAGAATTTTGCCTCTACTTACATAAGCAATTAATTTGTCATTTCAGTTTTTAAAATTTTCATCAATTGAAACATGGAGTATGAATTGAGTATGTGATTCAAACTCTCAGACAAAAGCAGCTGATTGAATCTGTTGATTTTACTTTCTGTAACCCAGAGTGTGTAATTCTTAAGAGAACATTTTTTCATCAGCTTTGGTGAAGATGGAGTGATGGGACCAGTTCATATTCCATAACAATCTCAGTAAAAAATGATGTATAGTTATCCTTGTGGGGTGGGTTCTTGATGGTGTGGCAAAAGTTGAAATTGAAACTTTTACTTGCCAAGTACATGTTTCTGGTTTCATTCTCTGGAGTTGAAGATATTTTTGTCAGAACTGAATCTTTTCACTTTTTAGACTTTAATAAGCATTAAACTTGTTTGATGAATAACTTTTCCCTTTTGAAATATGTACCAAAATTATTGGTGACAGGAGTCATTCTATTTTGCAGGAGGAGCCAATTCAAGATTCTGAGAAGCAAAAAGAGAAGGAAGAGGTTAAGCAGACTGTAATCCCAACTGCAAAGAGAGTCCCATTGAAACGCAGAACCAGTGAATCAGGTGTTATTGCACCTGCAGAGGCAGAGGTGAATGCTACTGAGGCTCCCAAAGCACCTTCTACAGCTTCAGGGGCAGCTGCCCCTGTCAAAGTTACCGGCTTGTCTCAGCAAGAGGTAACCTCATTTTGCAAGTTTGATGTTATACTTGAAGCTTTTTCTTTAAGATTAATTACCAAATCCTGGCAACAACAGGTTTTGATGAAGGGTTGGGCCTTCTATCTCAATTGTCCTATCTGTATTTTGATGGAGAAAGTTTCATAAGTTAGCAAACTTGTTTGCAAATTTTTTTTCCAATCACTGTTGAAGTGAAGGGTTTTGCCATTTATCAGTTGTACTTATTTGCACTGACTAAATTCTTGCAGCGATTGAAGAACAGAGCAGAGAGATTTGGGACTGTGACCAATGCGAAAGGAACAGGTTCTAGTGCTGCCCTAAATGGAGCAGATACTGATGAGGTATGCTTAATTCTTGGTATCGTGTCTCAGTTTAGATACAGTATTGTGAAGAATTATAGCACCGTAATTTATTCCCTACTTTTCTTATATTATTTTAGGACTCTTCAACTAGGCATACTTTACCAGTTGCTGATTTTGATGACCTTCATTGTGCTTCTTTTTGTTTTTCTTGTGGTTATTCATGAAAGGTCAACCTGAAAATTCAGGATTGCTGGAACGTCTTTGACTTAGAGCATATATCACTGATTCACACACCATTCAATGGAAGTTGTGAAGAAGTGCAAGAAAAGTTGGAATGGAACACTTTCAATGAACTCATTCTAGTATAATTGATGCATAGTGTAGTGCTCAAATCAGTGTGTAATGTGCAGATCAACATTATCCTTTAAAGAACCTTGAAAGACCAAAGTTATTTTAATATTTGGAAATGCTCTCTTGCTTCATTTTCCTACTCTCACCTTTCCATATGGATATTCATTTTACTAGAACATATTCTTATAATCTCCATGTTGTTTTTCTCCTGTAATATATTATTTTACTTTTCATTTGTGATGATTTTTTGTTTTCCTCCAACTTTATTATTGTAAGATAACAGTAGCTGCATGTTATTTTGCTTATCAGACTCCCACTCTCAGGATGTTTCCATTCACAAGATTATTCCTTATGGATTTTCATAGTCTCTCCCTGAAGTCCTTCCCAGTTTCCTTCCTTTCTTTTGAGAAACTCTAAACTTCCAAATGGGGCTTGCGTTCCAGAGTCAGTGTTGCGAAAGTTGCTGGGCCTATAATGGAACTATTGTTAGGCCACCCTTGAATGGTTATAATATTGCATTTTGTTTGCACATTATTTATGGCTCTTAACAAGTCTTAGCTTGGGAATTTTTCCAAATGGCCCGATTCTTTCTGTTGTTTCTCTGCTGAATTGTTTCTGTACTATGTAATGACCTGTTGACTGAAGTGACTCTTGTAGGGAAGAAAGTGAGGCTTTAAAATGAATACTTAAAGCCAAGTTTATTCAAAAGTGAGAACAAATCATAGCTCAACTAAAGTGCGAAGGAATCCTTAGTCTGAAATGCTGCTATTTGGACTAAGTGATAACCTATATTTCTCTCCTGCTTGCAAGTTTAACTACTGGCTGCATCCTTTGAACATGGTGTAGAGTATCAGTGCTTTATCTTAATTTGCACTGTCTGTGAATATATGTAGAAGTTAAAGAAGAGACAAGAGAGATTTGGTATTGGAGCCTCCACAAAAGTCATGGGTATTATCGTCATTGGAGGAACTAGTGACGAGGTATATCTAGCTTCTTCTTTTCAGTCCTCAAGTCACAGATTGATAACTGCTAGTTGTATAGTTTTGAATATCCATTTTGATGCTTCTTCTAACTTTTCCTTTTGCCACCCTTTGCTTGTGTATGTTGAAACTACCATTTATTTTGATTTCAGAAACTGAAGCAAAGGGCTGAACGTTTTGGCATTTCCAAGGCAGGTGGAACCACATCCAGTACAGGGACCAGTCTCATTAGTGTGAGTTTCACATTGAATCATCAGAAACATCCAGCTGTTGGTTTTTTCCCAAGATTTTTTTCACAAACTTAGAAAATAATATATTAATTTTTGCACTACCCTGTGTGGTGCTACGATTTTAAGAAAATGAGGACAATCATTACAGGAAAGTGAAGTTGGAGGTGCATATGCTTAATGAAATGGTCATGACAATTTTAGGAAGTGAGAGGAATGAGAATCTTGAGTGCAGAAGAGGGTCTGACATGCTTGGAAAATTACCTAGTGATACAGCTGCAATTTGAGGAACAGTATTATGCAAAGTGCTGAGAGCAGAGGGGCTTGGGATGACTTTGAAGTTTTAATTCATGCTGCTCTTCTTCCACATTCAGGATGAGAAAAAGGAGGAAAGGAAGAGGAGATTCGGGGAAGTGTTCTCTGGGGACACGGAAGAGCGGAAGCAGATGAGGGCCAAGCGTTTCGGACTCTCAACGACCATCCAGAGTGCAAAGATTCCCTCCTCTGTTCCTGATGAAGAGAAAAAGGCAGCTAGAGCTATCAAGTTTGGACTCTTATGATTCTTTAAAAAAAAAATTGTTCACACCGTCGTCTCATCCCCCGAAGATACGCAGAACTTGTGTCATCTTCGCTTCGCATTTTTCGTTTTTTTCCTTGCAATATCTGTTGGCATTGACTTGCATGGTCAAATCATTTAGAGTTCTTCAGGAGAAACTCATGACAACTTAAAATATTCTTGAGTTAATGACTATAATTCATGAGCTGCATTTGGTTTCCCCTGACACCCTTGAATGTCTTCATTCATTTTCTTCAGGGAAGAACATTTCTGTCACTTGCTGAGAATTTTGAAAGTTTGGTAAAGTGTTGGTACTGTTGAACTGTGGTTCATACTGTACCATTTGTAAGGATTCACCAATGAATGTGGGATTTTAGATACAGGTGTGTTTTATTTATGAATCAGTGAACCTTCTCACTGTATCTCATGATGGTGAACTCATCATTTGAACTATGTTTTGAATGCCAATGAAAACTTAATTTGGGATTCATAGATCCTTGACTTGAATACAAACTTATTATTTACATTTTCATGCCCCAAAAAATGTTTGTAAAATTTTCGATTTGTAGCTACTCATAACTGTTTTGGGCTGTCACTGTGCTTTTGAGGGTTGACTTATTCAGAAAATGATCACGTGCATGTAAATGTATATAAAAATTAATATATTCATTTTAAGTGTGATTGTGACAGACATTGTCCGAGTTTTAACCAACGTCACACGGGCGTCCACAAGTCGACGGCGGGCAATCCGAGCACATTTCTCGAGTGAGAAACGAGCAATGTATCGCACGAGGCGCAACACCGTATTTTGATGCAGGCGCCAGCATGGATTCGGCCGCACTCTCTCGCTGCCGTCACGCCCTGTATTTCTAAAATAATCTAATGGATATCGTCATTAATTTGCGTGCATGTGCTCATTTGATGTATCAGTCAGCCCTCCAAAACTCAGCGACAGGCGCAATAAATTACGAGTGGCTACGAATCGAAAATTGTTCCAAATTTTTCTGGGACGAGAGAGCTCAAGTCGCTTATTATCGACTCATTTCATGCTCTCTTAAAAAGCTGTCATCACATCACGAAACACGAATTACTTCAATTATGTAATGTAAGTAAGCATTAACATGAAACTTTTTACCTTCGCAAGAGCCATACCATGCTGCAAAGTGCGATATAAACATTAAGTCGTTTACCACTAAAATATATGTGAGCTATGAAGGTTAACAAACCCATTTTGTCGAATGACGTCCGACCGAAAAATGAAGCCGATTAGCCTGAGCTTAAAATCGAATCAGCGTGAGAGTCGAAAACGCGAAATCAGGAATCCACCGAGTGGAAACTCGGAAAACGCCACACCAAAAAGGACCCATCGTCCTGCTAATTGGAGCTTTTGTCGAAAGGCAAGTGAGACGATGATCGCCGAACGCGGAAAACGAAGGCGTTGGAGGAAATCCCGGTCTCGCCCTCCTGAGGTGCGCAGTGCATGAGTCCTGGTACGATTCAGTGCTACTCGGGGCTTGCTCCTTGCAATCCCGAGTTTCCTCGGTCCCTCCAGCACTATGGCATCTAACGTACGACATCGAAATGCTAGTTCCAAACGCTCTCCAGAGATGAAGGCTTCCAGCCGTGGGAAAGGGTGAGGGGGCGACACGGCTTCGTGTCGCTCCATCGTTGATGCGACTGGTATGGATGGACGACAGAGTTGGTCATCACGTCACGAAGCGTTTCGTATTAATTACAGACAGTATTTCTCGATACATGAGAGAAAATCAAAGCTGAGATGTTTGAAAAGGACGAAGTAAACAGGCAAGGGGGATTAAGAGAGGCTCGTCGGACTCTCTCACTCCCCTCTGCGACACTTCTCGTCGCTAAGTAAGATGATTTTCCATTTGGAACTAGTGATCGCATGCTCGAAGACGCCGACGTGGAGCTCGCTCCAGAGCCTCCACTGTCGTCTGCATTCGCGCGTCCGCGACGCACCGGCTCGGAGAGACACGACGGAGGAGCAGCTACCGCCGGGGGTGACATCTGGCGGAGCTCCGCCCGAGCAGCGAGTGAGGCGAGGCCGTTTGGCGTGTGCGAGTGCTTTGGTTTCCTGACGTTTGTCACCGTGTTTTGCGAAGGGAAGCATCTGAAAACGCCGCTGCGGGGGTCCTAACAGGTGCCTCGATGCCTCAAACGTGTAGTTTGGGCTCGGGGACCGAGGTTCAACGGATCCATGGCTTTCGAGAGCCATCGGGAAGGCACGAGTCGGATGCGAGGTCATCGTAGCGCCGTGGAAAGGACTGGATTTAGGCCTCACACACAAAGGACGAAAACCTCGACGTGCTCGACTCGAGTCGAGGCTCTTTTCTGATCGTTTCGAGGCTACGGTAAAAGTGAGGATCCTCGACCGAGCGGGTTCCTCTGCACGGCATCGTCGCAACCAGACTGCGTCGAGGCTAGGCCTATTCCTTCTCGATCGTCGCCGTGCCGAAAATGGGCGAAATCGCCTCTTGATATCACTAACTCTCCTGACTCCTGACGAGTCGGATGCGAAGTCATCGTAGCGCCGTGGAAAGGACTGGATTTAGGCCTCACACACAAAGGATGAAAAACTCGACGTGCTCGACTCGAGTCGAGGCTCTTTTCTGATCGTTTCGAGGCTACGGTAAAAGTGAGGATCCTCGACCGAGCGGGTTCCTCTGCACGGCATCGTCGCAACCAGACTGCGTCGAGGCTAGGCCTATTCCTTCTCGATCGTCGCCGTGCCGCCGGTGCAAGACTGCCAAACCGTTCCGGAAACCTTGCGTCTGCCCTAAAAACTGATGAGGGGAGCCACAAGCGGCGGGCAAACGGCGGTGAGGCTGTCGTTTCCTGGAGTAGGTCTGCTTGCCCCATTCTTTTCGCACGGTTACTGGTCGTGCAATCGGATGCAACGGTCCAGTAGTCTCGCACGAGGTTTTCACTCTATTTCCCGACGCCCTAGTATTTTCTGCATCGCAAAATATTTTTCATGAATACGCGTGAAAGGCAACTCGGTATCGTCACGAGTCGGAAAAGGAAAATTCACGATGCCGAAAACGGAGCGAAATGTAGGAAAATTCATTTTGGTGTTGCTCAGTGGCGTAGGGAAGGGGGGGTTCAGGGGGTTAGAACCCCCCCCCCCCCCCCTTGGGCTTCCCTGACAGTGACACTGACAGGCATATTTCAACCTTCCTTGGGAATTCCAATTTTAGCTATGCCCCTTCAAGGAAAGTCTGATGTCCGTCCACAGACCCAAAATGCCAGACCATGATTTCTTCGAAAAGGTAGATTTCGGGTAGTGGAGCTAGGCGTAGGGTTGGGGTGTCAGCAGTTACCATAGCAACACTGTCCGTAGCCGACATCGCCTCGTACTCTCGTTGTTGGTTGTGAGCACACACCCCGCGGGAAGGCATTCCGTTAATTGCTATTCTTAGCGCCGAAATTAGGCGCCATAACGTCAGAATTGTAGGATTTTTGGAACTGTTGACCCGATAAATAGAAATGTTTTCCGCCTCACGTGAAAAGGTGGCGAAAGTAGCGATTTCTGCATTCTGTCGGTATACGAACCTTCACAGTTGCATTTTCTTCATTCCATTCGACATCGCGTCCGCATGAAAACAATTTCGGCACTGTCCGATAAATGGAAATGTTTTCCGCTGGATATGGCACTGTGGCGAAATTGGCTATTTCAGGATTGTGTCGAAATACCTAGAAATTTGTATTTTCTGGCTTTGATTTGACATCGCTTTTATATTGAGTTAATTTTGGCACCATGCGATGAAAAGAAAAATTTCCGCCGACTATGGTAGGGCGGCGAAAGTTACGAATATTGGAAATAGTTTCTGTCGGAATAACTTGAAATTTGCATTTTTTGGCTTTGAGCTGATATCGCTTTTATAGTAGGTCAATTTCGGGATTGAATGCAAAAAGAAAATTCCGGAGAACAATGTAGGGTGGCGGAAGTAGGGAATTTTGGAAATAGTGGGATATTCCCGAAAGATTATGCTTCGATTCCATATCGCAAATATATAATCCATATGAAATCAATTTCCTCACTGTGCGATAAATAGGAATGTGTTCTGCCGGACATGGTTGGCGAAAGTTCTTTGAGGCAATTTTTTTCTGGCGATTTTTCTTTAAGGACTCTGATTTTCGTGACAGATGCTATTTAAGGGTTTTATTCGATATGGTAGCTATATGAAACTATATATTTCGGCATAATGCGATGAATAACGTTTCTTTTCCGGTTTTGGGTCAGAAAATCTCTGTAGAAAATCTCTCAGCACAACATGAAGGACATGTAGAAATGTTGGAAAGTTTTTGATACCTTTATGATTTCATCTTCATCATTGACTCTGGATAGGCTCAATATTTCAGGCAAGATGTTAATAAATCAGGTTAGCAGGTGTTTTTATTTAGGTAAAAATTGCTGAAAATCATGAAACGGCGATTCACTTGTGATTTACCGGTAATATTACTAGTAAGCAACATTGGGATAATTGCCAGCAATCCGGTAATGTTAGGGTAATGTTTCCAACTCTCCCAACACTATTAGTTTTTTTCTAATGGGGAGAAAGAGCTAGGTTGCAGTTTACCTGTCTTTGATACTGAATCGCAGGCATACAAACTTCCGAAATACACGTTTCCATCAAATTCCTGCCACCTGCTACGTATCCGCGAGCAGCAAGAAGTCATTGTCTAGTTTCACTATTCTAACGAAGATAAATAGCTGACATGCAGATGTTCTAGTCATTATACTGAATCGTAGCAGTAAGAATGCGAAAAAGACATACGGCCACGTTTGGAGAAAATCATCAGCCACCAGTTCACGACGAATACATTATGGCCCAGTTGCCCTATTCTAATGAAGATGAATAGCTGAAACGGAGTTATTGTAGCTTCGAAAAGGAATCACAGGCAATTGAACTTGCGGATTGGAAATTTCCATGGAATTTAGATGGATCCTCCTGCGACAAATCCTCGAGCAAAAAGCGATTGTTTAGTTGCGAAGTTCTAATGAAGAAAAAATCGAAAAGGAATCACAGGCAATTGAACTTGCGGATTGGAAATTTCCATGGAATTCAGATGGATCCTCCTGCGACAAATCCTCGAGCAAAAAGCGATTGTTTAGTTGCGAAGTTCTAATGAAGAAAAAAAGCTGAAATGCAGATAATCGAGGCCCGTTACTGAATCGTAACCGGAAGAACGCGGAAACGAAGAGATTCAACCACGTTTAGTTAAAGAAATCATCTGGGACTAATCACCGACGAATACATCGTGGCTTATTTTCGCTTTTCTATTGAAGCTAAAACGCAGTTAAACCGAAAGCGAATCACAGGTATTTGAACTTGCGAAATTGAAATATTCATGGAATTTCGATGCATCTATTGCGGCGAATTCGCGACCCACGAATGAATGTCTAGTGGCGCTGTTCTAATAAAGATAAACAGCTCAGATGCAGATAATGTAGCACTTATACTGCATCGTAGAAGGAAGAATGTGACAAAAACGTGCCATAAAGACATTTAGAGAGAACCATTTGCGAAAAACCCGTGACGAATACATCACGGGACAACTTCGCTTTTCCACTGAAGAGAAACAAGCTCATCTAGCTTTGATATTGAATCGCAGCCCTACAAACTTGAGCAGATGGATTTACGACAAATCCACGACCAAAAATTTGTGTTGTGGTGGTATTCTAATGAAGATGAACAGCTCAAATGCACTTCATGTAGTTCTGATATTGAATTGTACGGAAAAAAAGCGAGAAATAGTTGTATGATTCTGAGAGGAGCTATCTTCCAGTTTT